TTTTTTTACTGTACTGGGTACCTAAAATGTACCAATAAACTTAATTTAAAGAAGAATAAATGTCTTTAAAATTCTTCTATATTCTGGGACATGTCAGAATTTCCTTGCTTTTAACAGATAAACAGGCTATGCCATATTCTATTGTCTCTATGTTGTATTTTGTTTATTCATTCTTCCATCAGTGGACCTTTGGGGCCTTCCACCTTTTGGCTATTGTGAAAGACATCATTATGAATATGGGTGTACAAATAACTGAGCCCTCACTTTCAATTTTTTTGAGCATAGCTCAGAAATGGAATTGATGGCTCATATAGTAATTTTATTTTTAACTTTTTAAAGGAATGACCAACTGTTTTTCACAGTAGCTGTACCATGCTACCTTCACCAACAGTACACAAAGATTACAATTTCTCTATAATTTTTCTCAACATACTATTTTGTTTTAAAAATAATCATTTTAATGGATGTAAAGTGGATGTTATTAAAATTTTGATTTACATTTTCCTAATAATTAGTGACGCTGAATACCTTTTCACATCTTTATTGGCCATTTGTAAATCTTACTTGGAAAAATATTTATGCAGACCATTTAGTTTTTTTATTTTGATGAATGCTTATCCTACTTATTTTTGTTATCACTGCCTGAGCTTTTGGTGTCATTTGCAAGAAATTATTGCCAAATCAAATGTCATACAGTTTCCCCCCAAGAATTTCATACTTTTCTTATATTTCAGTCTTTGATCATTTTGACTAAATGTTGTACATGGTGTAACACAAGAACCCAACATCATTGTTTTGTTCATGGATATTCAGTTTTTCTAGCATCATATATTAAAACATTGTCTTTTCCCCATTAAGTGGACTTGGCACCCTAGTAAAAAAAAATCATTTGACCATATATACTTAGGGTTTACTTCTGGGCTTTCTAGTTTCTTCCATTGGTCTATATGTCTTCTTTATTCCAGTATCACACTGTTTTGTTTATTGTAGCTTTGTAGTAAGTTTCAAATCAGTAAGTGTGAGGTTTCTAATTTTGTTGTTCTTGCTGAAATGTTAACATAAAAGGTAAATATTTCCCTTATTGTTTCATACCACAGTGTGAGACATGGAAAAATATGTGTACTCAGTTTTTTGAAAATTATTTTACAAAAAGTGTCATGGAACCAGTTATTAAAATTATTCAATATGAATGTGTAAATGCTAAGAATCATTACCAAATTATGGAAATCTTCGAGGAAATAAGATTGCTCTTTTGTAGAGTTCATTGGTTAAATCACAGAAAAGTTCAAAAATTTACTGTATTAATAATATACATTCAAAATTGTCTTTGAATTGAAACAAAAGCAGTATTTGCCAAATATCTAATAATTGAAGAGAAAATTAGAAGAGCCCAATTTTTTCACCAATAGGATACTGAAAAGCTTGTTTACTGTCTTACCACAAAGGTGGTAGAATTTGTGTTAAAATAGAAACTTTTTTATAATTCAATTTAATAATCATTTATACCCTTTGCTAGCATGAGTCAACATGCAGATTTTAATCCTAGCAGAAATTATGTAAATTGGTTATAAAAATTACAAGAAAAATTGAAAAATACTAGTTTGGTATTGATACATTTAGAAATGCTTTTCAACTGTAATTTGATTTTAATATAAATTGATGAGAAGTAGTAAATATACTTAACTTCGACGGCAGTAGTTTTCAAATTGATATGATTTTGATTTAAAGATAAATCAGTTGTTCTAAAAGATTTTAAAGTGTTTATTAAAATAAATGTGTGCAAACAAGTGAAAATGATTTACTGTTAGTGATTTCAGTTACTGAAAAACTTTACATATGTTTAAAAACATTTAGGGATATGAAATTATTTTTGTAAATACAAATTTTATGATATCTGAAAATAACTTGTGTTGTGTATATGATATAAATTTAGTTCCTAAGTTGAGACATTTAATATGTATAAAATATGCACTATAATTTGAAGGCTTACCCCTAAAATGAATGTAAAAATCTCAGTAATACTTTTTTCTAATGCTTCTTATTGAAATGATAAGTTGAGTATAATGTGTTGCTATTTATTAAATTCACAAATATCATAGAAGTAATCGCTGCTATTAAATTATTACTTTAACACTGAACCTTGTACCTAGTGCAAATGGTAACTAATCTTACTTTAACTTAAATGATTCACTATAACATTTCCATCCAGATAACTATCTTCTAAAACACTACTTCATGAACCAGTCACTAATGCTCTACTTTATTTAGAGGCAAATTTTCATAACGTAATCAAAGATGAACATGGGACAGAAAATGTAGTTTTGTACCACAGCACTAAATTTCAAGTGGACAAAATTGTAAACTATGATTTTTTTAAGATTATTACCCAGTAAACATAACAAAAGTACTTAAAAAATTATGAAGGTAACAAATATATGTATTACTGTTAAAGCTTACTTTTACCTTATTTTCTTTTTTTTGGTACCAGAGATCGAACTCAGGACCTTGTGCTTGTGAGGCAGGTGGCAGCACCACTGATCTGTATCTCCAGCAACTACAATACAGTTTCCTAAAAGGTGACTTCAGAATGATGATTTATCTTTAGCTTTTGTCATTAAAAATGATTAGTTTGGGGCTGGGGACTTTGCTCAGTGGCTCTGTCACCTGCCTTATAAGCACAAGGTCTTGAGTTCGATCCTGGGTATAAAAAAAAAAAAATTAGTTTGAGTATAGGAACAACATACAAGAATGAAAACATTATTCCATACCTCTCTGTTCTTGTCAATTTTAGGTGTCCAATGTTATATGCCCTCAAATTAGTCATCAATTGTATTTCTTTTACCCAAGTTTGCTAAAGTGTCATCAGGAAACTTAAAAAACTGTTACACTGGAAGACAAAATAAATAAAATCGGAACATCATCATGAAAAACTAATGATTTTTACAGCTAATTTATTTTAGGTTCTCCTTTACTTTTGTTGAAAATGATTTAAAAGCTCAACTGAAAGAAATTTGACATTCGGTCATTGGAATAATTCATTTATCAATATCAGCTCCAGTGTTTGAAAGTGTCTCTAGTTTTAATGATCAGAAATCTCTACCCCGCAAGGCAAGCCCCATGTAAGATTAGGGATAAATGTCAGATTTCCTTTTCTTTTGTAAAGTTGTTTTAGAAATTTGTGAAATTCAAAGTGGGGAAAGGAGAACTGGCTTGACAACAAAGGCTTTTACAAATAATTAAAAATGCTTAAGGCAGGTGAATATTTGGAAATTGATATTCTTAAAACTATGGCTGGCTACCACTTAGAAACTTTTCTTTTACCTATATGTGCCCCGATTGAGGACAGCTGCTCTAGTGCAATGCTTCAGTTTCTTTCGCAAAATCATTCACTGCATGCACATCCAGTTTTGTTTTAAGCCTTTTAAATTGGATAGCTACTTCCTAATGATATTCATTCTGCTTTTAGATGTATCCACTTAAAAATATTCCTTAAACATATTATTTGAGTAGACAGTTTCTACTTTCTTGTAATTTTCAATTGACTTTTGCATACTGAACTTGTGCAATTCTTTTAAACATTTGAACATAGCTTTCAGGTTCCCCGAGTCTTTCCTATGCCACAAGTCTCTGTCGTCTTTACCAGCCCAAATGATTTCAAATTGGCTTATCATCTTAGTCACTTCTCTTTGAAGTACCTTCAGTTTCTGAATGACTTTTTTAAAGAACTAAGGCTCACTACTAAATGTGGCCTGGCAAGTGTGGGACTATTAGATTTCCTGTTCTGAGCATTATAATTCATTTATGATAGTGTATGTTCATTTTCACTTTGGCAGCTCTGTTGTACTGTCAACTCATAATGAGCTCAAAGTTAACTAAAATCCTAATCATTCTCTCCGATTCTATAAAATTATTTTCTAAATATAAGGTTATGATTTAACAGCCTCCTCTAATTTTCTTTTGGTTCATTTTGTTTCAAAAAGAGCCTACTGAAATCTTTTTTAATTCTTGATAGTTTAATATTGGGCTAGCCATCTTGGTTTTTATGCCACTTACTATTTTATATGTCATCAATGGTTATTCGAATTATTAATAACACAGTTAAGTGAAGACAGAGCTGTGTAGACACTATTCTCAGTGTTCTTTACTGATTGGTGTATTTCATATTGTTACAATCATGTTATAGTTTTTAAAAGCATTCCCTGGGAAAGAATATTTAGTATGAACTCACCCATCTGAATTACCATCCCCCCCATCTTACTTTATAGGTTAACCTCAAATTCGGGTATACCTTCTGGGCAGTAAACCTTCACAGTCTCTGAGAATTCTAACTTTGATTCTGGTTACCAGGGTTACTGTACTGAATATGACAGTGTTTCTACCTTGTTTATACTTAAATTCTAGTAGGAGAAAGACAATAGATAAAAAAATGACAAAAAAATCAAGGTAACGTCTAAAGCTAAAACAGGTTCATAGTAGAGTCACCAAGAGAATATTACATCCAAAAGGATGTCTTTTAAGTAACTTTTAAAAAGAACTTGAATAACTAGAAGGTGGCAGCCTTGAAAAAAACAAAATTTATGGAAAAAGTTAAAAGTCTCTAGGAAGATTAAGTATTAGAGCAAGACACTGTCCCAACTAGTTCATAATTTTAATCTTTTTAGGTCATCTCATTAGTTCTACCTTCCAGAAAGACAAACTAGTGTCAGTAACCAACCATGGACCGAACAGCCTCAAGTTTTACCTGTGTATTAAGATGTAACTTTTTGACTTAAGCCACCAAGGATGCTTCTATTCTATGGCTATAAAAATCCCAAATTCTAAATAACTGATTTAAAAGCTGTGCAGCCATGCAGCTTTAAAACACCATACTTTTAATCTTTAAGAGAAAGAAAGAAAGAGTGGCAGGATAATGAAAATTTTAAACACAAATCAAAGGTTTTTCTACAGCCACAGATAAATGGGGAAGGAGGACGTGCTCAGGGAACAGAAAGTAATGCCGTTTAGCTACCTCACAGGATATATGAGAATACCAAGATGTGAACACAAGTTGGGAAAATGCTATTGAATAATTTTTATGCCAACTTTGCTATGGAAGGAATTGGTAAATGATACATACAAAGAAGCAGAACAGAAGTAAAATAATGAAAAGTTTGTTGACAAAAGGTCGATCACACTAAGAGCAGTGCCGATAACAATTCTTTGCAGTTAGGGAGTTTACCTCAAGATTTGTCTAGCCATCTATTCTAGCACACAGAAAAGGGGTATTCAAGGTTAGGAAAACAGAGATAACAATTATTTTTCCATCCTGACACTTTTATAGCCATATAGTTTACAGAGAGTTTTATAGCTCAAGGACTGTCATTTCAGCTTGAATATTTGGTCTCATCCTGGGATGCAGCTTGGCTACGTGCCTTCAAGCTTCAATGATGAGACCTTGGGTGTTCTGTTAAACAAGCAGAGCAAAGCAAATTACAGAAGCAAAAGGCAGTGGTTATTTTGCATATATTTCTAACATTTTGCAGGTTTTTAAATTATTTACATAAATTCTATCAACTTAATGGGGTGGAACTAAATTCTGTATGAAAGAGGGAGCTATGAGAGTTTTTAAGAATGATAGTGTCTGATGAGTGTAGAATAGAGATTAGAAGTAAGGAATCCAGTTAGAAAGCTAATGATAGCTGGAGCTCAAACAATGAATTAATAAATGTTAAATGTGAACAGCTGGCAAGAGTACAACAAAGAAAAAGTTTCCAGACACTTTAATACATTGCTGGTACAACTGCAATTTGGAAGTTTTATTTTTATTTTTTCCTGTTATAGAACTTGACGAAATTGGATTTTAGAGACAATAGAAAAATGGTCAAAAAGACTAGAGGACTCATAGTTCTCAAGGATGGGAACAGAGAAGCTACAGAAGATGATTATGTACTTTCAAGCCTGATTGTCCAATATGATCTATTAATAATAAAAGAAAGGAAACATGATGGAAAAGAATAGGTGAGCAGACTCAAAGGTCCATGGGCTGCCCTGGCCTCATCATTCATGTGTTACACATGCTATGTAACTTTGTGCAAACTTCCTTAAGCTTGGTGTAATGGGTGTAATGACCACATAAAATGGTGGTGACAGAGGGTAATTAGAATAGATTGCCTCAAATGTCTTTTCCAGGTAGACAATTTTGAGATTTTAAGACATTCAATGACTGTGAATCACATTAAGCTTTTAATTTCAGAGAAATAGAGAAATACCTTAAATTACACTTTAAGTAACTTGAAGGTAACGGTGTATTATTTTGTCTAGCATATTAGAGTTTCTTCATAACTAAGAAAATAAATGTTTATATATAACATTTTGAATTTAAAAAAATAAAACAACTCCAAAGCAAAATAAAAGTATATATTATCAAGCTGTATTCCATAAAATTCACCCATTACACCCATATCAGTAAAATACTAGGGCATATTTTGCTGTATTCTTGCCAAATGTATTTGAAGAAAAAGCAAACATGTTTATTAGACTTTTTGTATTATTCAAGACTTCTACTGGATCTGTGCACATTTTCCTTTTGGTTTTGACATTTGGTTGTGTCTTTAAGACAATATACTAAGGATAAACTTTCATCTTTTGTACATTATAGATATTTCATTATTTGTATTTTGCCTTACTTTGCAATGTACTAGTTGTAAACCACATTATATTTATTGCTTTTCTGTTCAATTCCATCTTTTTAGACTTTAAGTGATTTTTAAAATTTTATTAGTACATGTGTATAGTTAAAGCGACGTAAGACACATGTGCTGCCCATTCATATTTTCTAGTTCATTAGATAAATGTAATATTGATCCATTAGCAATTTGATACATGGCAAATTTCTTCATAATGTGAGCATAAAGTAAAACTGATTTTTAAAATATTTCAGCTGGCTTCCGCTGTGAACTTTATTAAGCTGGCATGAGTTTTCTAGCGTTTTTAAGGTAATAATTTATTTGCAAAACAGTTGAACTTAATCCTTCTCAATAATTCAAGATTTTTCATTGCTTTTTGTTCCAATGAGAACTTTCTCGGCAGTGCCGGGTAATGGAACAGTTACGAACCCTATTTACCATTCTAACCTTTAGTCTACACAGGCAGTCTCGCAGAGGTCAGGCTACGCTCTTTCTCCGCTGCGGTAGGCACCAGTCCTGTGGTGAGGGAGGTTCTCTCGCCACATCCCGCAGGATTCCCGGCTTTCCCGGAAACGAGGCGCAGTCAGCTCGGCGGACCCGGCTCCTAGAGGGCGGAAACCGCCCGGTCGCCGTTCCGCCGCTCTCTCCTCCCGCCCCCTGGTGGCCGTCCGGCG